CTCGCGCTGAAACTCCAAATACGCCTCGCAGAAGAAACCCAGGAAATCCCTATAGCAGTTGCTGAATAACCAGAAGATTCAACTGCTTTCATTGATTCAACGTGACTAATAAACACACGACTACGACAATATATGGTTTATCTGAGTTTGTCTATTTTTATTTTTTATTATAATAAAGTATATAATAATGCAATGCTAATCAACACAGAATAAGGCACGCATCATAGTATTAAGGCTGCACGATGTGCATCTCGTCAGTAAAGCCGGTTCTGTGATTAGTAGTAAATCTCCATCACGTTCTTTCAGATGGAGCAGCGTTTACTACACAGAGCCGTAGTTCACTGACAAGCTATGCAAACAGCTTTCATAATCGCAGAACGATTTCATAATCGCGCGATTAAATCGCCTGCGATTATGAACGCGGTTTTGCGTACCTTGTCAGTGAACTACGGATCTGTGTAGTAAATGCTGCTCCATCTGAAAGCACGTGATGGAGATTTACTACTGATCACAGAACCGACTTTACTGACAAGATGCGCATGACAATCCCATTTGATTAATCATGCAGCCCTAAATTCTGCACGCACAGTGAGGCCAAGACCTATAATGTGGTCTGATATTGATCACAGTCATACACAAACACAATCTGACTGAACTTATAACACACAAACTGTTGTACTTCTCAAATTGTTACTGAAGATATTGAGTAATCATTCACAGTAGAGACTGGAGAAAGTAATTGAACCCTTGAAATTAGTATCCAGTAGATCAGAGTTGCTCAATCCTGTTTCTGAAAATCTGCCTTCCATCAAAGTTTAGCTTCAACCCCAATCAAATACACCTGATTTTCTTGAACACTTGATAATTACAAAGAGGAATGAGCAGATCCTGTAGTAGATCCTCTTTTAGCAGCAACAACCTCCACTACGTTTTTTTGTAGTTTATAAGACTTGCACAACATATATTTCGGACCTTTCCTCACTATAGATCTTTTTCAGTTCAGTATATCGGTCGTGCCACAACATCCTGATTGGAGCAACATAAGGTTTTTGGCTTCACCATTACATAACTACGGTGACCGGGAGGGGACGTCTTCGCTTCACTTAGTTTTGTCGTGGCCACGACATAACTCGTGGGGACGTGGGTCAACACTGTAAATATTGACTCATTATATTTTTTTGCCAATAAAAGCCTTTAAAACATATGATATACTTATCGTTTTTCATTATAAAACGGATAGTTCCGGTCCTTGAGTCTGATTAGTTGAGCCACGTTCGAAGCTGTTGTAAATTACTCTACTAGTGGACACACTATGCATCATTAAAGAAGTTAAAGAGTTAAAGAAAAGAAAATGAAATGAAGAACAGATGAGGGATATACTCACTGTCAAATGTCCTTCATGATGGTCTGGGAAGTGGATGAACAGATATTCTGTTGCCACCAGCTGCATGATAGAATCTCCCAGGAACTCCATCCTCTGGTTGTGGCCTCTGCAGACAGATACAGTGGCTGCATGAAGCCCCAGTCGATAGTTAACCAATGATAAGATTACTGTTGCGTAGTTCCTGGCTGTGGAAAAACGGCCTGTCTCTGTGGGGCCTAATCACCATGTGGGTTCACCATTTTAGGGAGCACAGGCACTGTTTTTGAAACATTTGGCAGTTACGCCGGACCCGCCAGCAAACAAGCGAATGACTGTTTAATTTTATGCATTATGTGCTGCATATGCTATCTGGGCCACGACAACCAGCTGGATCCAGATTTATAAACTCTTCAGGGGCCATATGTATAAAGCTCAGAGAAAAATTGTAGTCTCAAGAATGTCAATTTTTCTCTTATTCCTAGACTTAAGAATAACTTCATAAAGGTTAAAAGTGCTAAGATCTCCATATTCTCTTATGTCATGTTATATGAGCCGAAACAGTCTGATGTATCAAATATGATACTCAACAAAAAACACATATGCAAGTGTTTTGGATTCTTTAAAAATATTTTGTCTAAAGGTTCAATAAACTGTTCCATTTAAAAAAAAAAAATTTTGATTTTACAAAGTCACAGAGGCACTAGAGCACTTACAGGGTGAGGTGGTTGAAGCCCACTGTTCGCAGAGTGAAGGCCCGTGCGAGGAGACGTGCATGAGTGAACAGCACTCCAATGGCATCCTCAAAATTTGTGAGTTTCTGCAGAACTGGAGATGACTCGATCAACTGCCTGTCTGTCAGTGGCTCCTGTACCTAAACATAAAGCAGATCATGAAATGTGTGCTCTTATGCATTAAATAAACTCAACTATTATATTACTACAATGAACCTTACAGACAGCTTCTTTAATTAAAAAAATAATAATTATAAAAGCTGAAATATCAGTAATTTATAATAAAACTTAAAAAAGATAGTTCACCCAAAAACTGTGTCATCATTTACTCACCCTCATGTTGTCCCAAACCCATAAGACTTTTATTCATCTTTCTTACACAAATGAAAATATAGTAACATTTTCACATTATTTTTGCCCATCCATTGAAAGTCTACCAATCAATCTAGGCAATCAATGTTTTCAAGCTTAAAAAGTTCACAAAGTATTTTTTTTTTAGATTTAAAGGTGCAGTAGATCTTGGAAAATGCTAACGCAGCTGCAGGCAGTTTTAAAGGTGCAGTAGGAGATCTTGGAAAATGCTAACTTTAGCCTGATAGCACTGAACGCGAACGTCCCACCCTCCCTGCAATCACCGTACAAAGCCACGCTCCCTGAACGCATTTACGCTCACAGACCAGAACACCAGACCTGTGTGTGAAGACGCTGCTCAGCGCAAATCCGTGAATGAATGTTCCGAAGTGAAGTAAACTTCAACGGATTTCCCCTGCTTCCCTAGCGCGAGGACTGGTATTGGGAACCGCTGAGCTACATCATGTGTCATTCTCAAGAACACAGTGAGAAAACTTTATAGTATAGTACAGTTAGTAAAAGTACTACAATACCAAGGAAGATCGGCTTGTTGATGTTTGTCTGCCATTCTCGCTCTGTCTACACAGCGTGCGTGAACGCGCTGATGACGTATCCTGTCTGCGCGAACAGGGTGCGCAGAGGTATGCTAATACATATG